CTTTACTGACAGATAAAAAGGTGCACGTACCTCCGTGTTAGGGAGATTGACGCAGCAAGCGTGTTTCAACACCCTACCGAATTGTTTTCTCAATCACCAAAGGGTGTCCTAATACCCTTGAGGAAACCAGCTCCACTCGCAGATTGTAAAACCTTGTAAATGTGTCGGGTGTCACCCAGCCCGCAGCTCTACAGATGTCTGTTAGAGAGGCACCGCGTGCGCACGCTCGAGAGAATGCGAAGCTCGGAGTTGAGTGCACACGCACTCTCGCGTGACAGGGCTCACCTCGGCTCTGATAAGCGAGAGAATGGCATCCACAAACCAGTGGGAAAACTTTATTCGGTTGGACACTTCCCTGCTGCCGACCGCCATAACAGACGGAGCTGCTCAGATGATCTAAACTCTGGGTGCGGTCCATATAATACGCAAGACGCAAACTGGACAATAAAGAAAGGGCTGGGTCTGCCTCCTCCGAGGGCAGCAAATCACGAGGAGGGAGAGCTCTGACATCCAGGTCCGGTTGAGCCAGAGGCGCGCAATCAGCAACCTGTTCCTCGTCCTCCCTGACCTTGCACAGTAACTGCGCGAGCAGGCTCACTGGGGGAAACGCGTATTTGCGCATGCCCCGAGGCCAGCTGTAAGCCAGTGCATCCGTGCCGAGAGCACTCGGTCAGGGAAAGAACAACTGGCAATGAGCTATCTCGGGGGAAGCAACAGATTGATCTGGGCTTCCCCGAATCGCGCCCATATGAGCTGGACAGACTCGGGGTGGACTCTCCATTCTCCAGGACGTAAGGCTGCCGTGAGAGCGCATCGGCTGCACGGTTGAGCTTGCCTGAATATGAATGGCGTGCAGCGATTTCAGCTACGGATGACTCCAGAGGAGCAGACGGCGGGCTAACTGAGACATGCGGCGAGAGCGCATAACCCCCATACGGTTGATATATACGCCGCCGCTGCCGTACTGTCCATCCTGACCAGCACGTGTTGCCGCTCCGGCACCGGGAAAAAACGGTGAAGAGCGAGGAACACTGCCAACAGCTCCAGGCACTATGCCAATGCAACTGGGTACCTTTCCACAGGTCCGCAGCCGCATGCCCGCAACGCACAGCCCCCCAGCCCGTGTTGGAAGCGTCTGTTGAAACGACAACAAGACTGGACGCCTGTCCTAGAGACACTCAGGCCTGTAGGAAAGAGGGGTCGCTCCAAGGGCTGAGGGCGCGGCGACACAGAGCAGTAACAGAGACTCGGTGCGCGTGCTATGCGCGTCTGGGGACTCGATCGTGAAGCCAGTGCTGAAGTGGTCTCATATAGAGTAATCCGAGCGGCATGAAGCGGCTGCGGATGCCATATGCCCCAGGAGCCTCTGAAATAGTTTCAGTGAGACCACTAGTTTGCTGTCAAGCTCTCTCAGACAGTACAGCATCAGCTGAGCGCGCTCCCGGGAGAGGCGCTTCCATGGTGACCGAGTCCAGCTCCAGCCCGAGAGAAGAGATCCTCTGCACGGGGGCGAGTTTGCTCTTTTCTCGGTTGACCTGAAACCCCAACAGGTGGAAGTGCCGGAGCACTTTGTCTCTGTGCATAATCAATTGCTCCGAGAGAGGGCAAAAATCAGCCAGTCATCAAAATTGGGTATGCGGATGCTCGCGAGCCGAAGGGGCGCTAAGGCACCCTCCGCGGGCTTGGTGAGGACCCGCGGAGACAGAGAGAGCCCGAAGGGGAGGGCTTTGTATTGCCAAGCTCCACCTTCAAACGCAAACCGCAGAAACTGACGGTGGCGAGGAAGAGTGGAGACATGGAAAGACGCGTCCATCAGGTCTAATGCTGCAGACCAACCCAGAGGACGAACGCACCGGAGGATGCGCTTCTGCGTTAGCATTCTGAACAGCAGCTTGTGCAGACAACGGTTCAAAACGCGCAGAACTAGGATTGGCTGTGACCCACCGCTCTTTTTGGGCACGATGAAGTGTGGGCTGTAAAACCCGCCCTCCATCTCGGCTGGAGGGAGCGGCTCGATTGCATCCTTCGCCAGGAGGACAGCAATCTCCTCTCGCAAGACAGGGGCGGACAGGGGGCTGACCCTGGTGAATACACACCCATGACTTGGGGGGCCGTTTCGCGAACTGAATCGCATAGCCGAGTCTGATTGTGCGTATGAGCCACCGCGAAGAGCTGGCCCGCCCTAACCAGGCAGGCAGAGCTCCCGCTAATGGACTCATCGCTACAATCGCTGACGTACCAGCAGTGGGGCAGCGCGGAGTGGGTGTGCTGATCCGGGAAGCGCGCGGGTCCCACGGAAAAGCTGGAGGTGAGGGATTTGCTCTCACTCCGCACCTGAGCTCCGGAGGGGAGGCTCGAGGGGTGGGAGAAAGGGGACCGTCCCCCACCCGCGGGGGCGGTGCAGCTCTCGTAGGTGGGCGCCTTCGGCGAGGAGCATGCATGAATGGCACGGCGGGTGGAGCGGGCTACGGACCGCAGATAAGACATCACCCATCAACTGCTCTCTCACCGCCTCGAATTTCTGGGTGAATTCCTAGACTGTGTTGCCGAACATGGCTTGGAATATGGGGAAGTCAAGAAAGCGGACTTTGTCGACTTTGCGCATATCAGCCAGGGGTGGCGCTCCTGGATCACTAATGTGGACATCATCCTCCCCAACGCACACGCAGCGGACTCAGTAGTCCGAAGAGCTAAGTCGGCAGCGGTGCGAAGCTCGTAAGCCTGGGATGGACCCACCCTCGTGCAGCTCGGCCAGCGCCTGCACTTGGTAGCGCTGGTAGGTGGCTATTGCATGCAAGGCCGAAGCAGCCTGGCCCGCAGCCTTGTAAGCTCTAGCTCCGAGGGAGACAGATAACTTACAGGCTTTGGATGGAAGACGAGGCGGACCCCGCCAAGAAGAGGAGCCGCCTTCACCTGGTGAGGATTAACCGCCACCGCGCACTCAACCTGAGGAATCGCCACATGCCCCCTGGCCGTTCCACCATTAAGTGTGGTGAGTGTGAAGGGACACGCAGCACGAGCAGAAAAAAGTGCCCTTCAAGACCGGGTGAGCCTACTGTGCACCTCCGGGAAGAAGGGGACACCCCTCTAGTCGGTCCGGCCGCGGAGCTGGGGGATAAACCAGCTCCAACTTACGGCCGAAGCAGCCCGGGAAAGCACGGCTAACATGTTTGTTTCAGGATCCGTTTGACAGCGCTCACCTGCCCGGAGGGGGCGAGCGGGTCTGGAACATCATCGGTCAATGAAAGCCCACCCTCCGATGCCGCGGTGGACGTCTGGTCTTCGATGTCATTGAGCGTGAGGTCTACCATCTGTTAGACGGATCGCTTCCCCCGCCGAAGCTTGGATGGAACGCTTAGAGGAGCGGGAGGTCCACGGGCCCGTGGGCGACGTATTATCTCTCGCTGAAACCCTCAGATCTGCCTGAGTGCCCGCTGCAGAGCAGGGGACAACTGGGGTGGTTTGCCCTTTTGCAAAGGCTAGCCATGATCTTTACTGCGCAACAGTCATGGCATCGCAATGATGACATGAACTGCCCGCGAGCAGCGCATTAACATGCTGGACCCCCCAGGCATGCAACGCAGTGCCCGTGCCCATCATCCGAGGACAGGAAACCACCGCATCCAGAAATGCACAGTCGGAGTGCCGTCCTGAAAAGGACTGTTTTGGTCTTTCTGTGAAGTTTGCAACTTTATACGCACCGCTCTGGAGGACCGGACCCAAAGAACGCCAGGCATGGGAGAAAACCCAGCTCGACCGTCTGCCGCTGCATGTACACACTCTGGACAGGGAGAATGCTCTCGTTCGCTCGGAATCGCTGGATCACAGCAGGAGGAACCCTTATCGACTCGATGAGAAAGTCTCTGAAGCAAAAAGGATGGCGTTTGCTCGCTCCAGGTGTGCTTCATTGCTTATTATCCCAGCATATAAGCACACCTGCGCAAGCTTACGCTGCTAATTCATTGCATTCATTGGTCTGTTCAATACTCTTTCAGACAAGGGGCTTCTGAACCAAATCCCCCCCCCCCCCTTTTGTGGATTTTCACAAAGATCAAATCCACTTAATTGCACTGAAGTTCCCCAAACGAAGGGGAACCACTGCTCTGAGGTACTCAAAAAACAAACTAGCAAACTCAACGTAAATTGCTTTCCTTAAGTTACTTTTCTACTTCACTATATCCATGTAAACATTTCTTTACAATTTTTAAAACAGTTTGATAATTTAGTCTGTTAATTTCTCTGGAACAATAAGCACTCTAGGTTGCATAGGAGTACATCGCAACAGCCAGGGTTGGGGCTTGCTTAGCATTTATTTCATTATTACGCCTTTAGTCTGAGACTCGTGCACTGGTTCATCCCTCCTGAGAGAGCTCCATCTTGGTTTATGGGTCAAGCCATCCTACTCTCCATTCCACCATTACAATATCTATTCATCTATTTATTCATTTTGTTTTGTAATTGTGTTATTGTTGAGGCTGATCTCAATAATTTTTTTAAAGATAGAATTTTAGGTGCAGGCTAGGACTGTCTCTGCCATTTACGGATAACATTGTCCTTTTGGCTTCATAGGACATGGACCTGCAGCCTGCAGTGGGACGGTTTGCTGCTGAGTGTGACATGGCAGGGAAAGAACAGCACCTCTAAGTCAGAAACCATGGTGCTTGACTGGAAAAAGGTGGCCATCTCCAGTTTGACGGAGAGTCCTTACCCCAAACTGAGTTCAAGTATCTGAGGTTTTTTTTTTTTTTTAATGAGGAATGGAATGTGAGATTTAAAGTTGGATTAATGCAGCGGCAGCAGTAATGCAGTTGCTGTGATTGTCTGTTGTGGTGAAGGAGCTGAGATTTCTGTTAACATATGTGTTATCTGATTAAACCTCTTGTCACAGTGTGAACACTTGTATGGTCTCTCCAGTGTGAATCGTCTGGTGCATTTTCAACTTTGGAGCTGTAATAAAAGTCTTCTCACACTCAAAGCACAAATACTCTTTAACACCAGTGTGGATCTTCATGTGTTCATTAAGGTTTGCTGATCAATTAAAACTTCACACAGAGTCCATGTAAATGGTTTCTCTCAAGTGTGGGTCTTCATGTGTTTAATAAAGGTCTGAGGAGCTGCTGAAACCCATTCCACACCGAAGCTCCAGTCTCACTAGAGTTTGAGCATGCAAAATATTGTTGAATGTCGCTGCGAAAAGGGGCGGGATTAAACAAGATGATTAGACATTAAGTGAGCGATTCGTCTATATTTTACTAACTGTCCAGAGAGGTCATGTTTTGATGTTCGATTGGTCTTATAAAGTCAAGTGATGCAATTTCACAGGTCAGAGTTTACCAAGCTTGAACTTTACAAGGCAGTGAACTGCGAAACGTGACGCACAAACTTGCGTTTCCAGTCTGACGCATTCGCGTGCTATGAATAGAAGTTTATGGGGAGAAAAGTCCAGTGTGACTGCGGCTTATTTGCAAGTGAATGGTTTCTCTCCAGTGTGGATTCTCATGTGTCGATTAAGGTGTGATGAGCTGTTAAAACTCTTCCCACACTGAGGGCATGTGAATGGTTTTTCTCCAGTGTGGACCCTCATGTGTAGATTAAGGTTTGATGATTGGCTGAAACTCATTCCACACTGAGGGCATGCGAATGGTTTCTCTCCAGTGTGGATCCTCATGTGTAGATTAAGGTTTGATGATTGGCTGAAGCTCATTCCACACTGAGTGCATGTGAATGGTTTCTCTCCAGTGTGGATCATCATGTGTCGATTAAGGTGTGATGAACGATTAAAACTCCTCCCACACTGAGTGCATGTGAATGGTTTCTCTCCATTGTGGCTCATAATGTGTAGATTAAGGGATGATGAGCGGATGAAACTCGTCCCACATTGAGTGCATGTGAATGGTTTCTCTCCAGTGTGGATCCTCATGTGTCGATTAAGATTTGATGATTGGTTGAAATTCTTCCCACACTGAGTGCAAGTGAATGGTTTCTCTCTAGTGTAGATCCTCATGTGTAGATTAAGGTTTGATGATTGGCTGAAACTCTTCTCACACTGAGTGCATGTGAATGGTTTCTCTCCAGTGTGGATCCTCATGTGTTGATTAAGGTGTGATGAGCTGTTAAAACTGTTCCCACACTGAGTGCATGTGAATGGTTTCTTTCCAGTGTGGATCCTCCTGTGAATCTTAAGATCCCTTTTTCTTCCAAAACTCGTTCCACACTGAGTGCAGGTGAAATGATTCTTGTCTCTCCTTTTCAAAAAACCATCAGTCTGTAAATTATTTTTTTCTTCAATTTTGACATGATGTTCCTCCTCTTTACTCCCCTCATTCTCTTCAATTAGGTCTAAAATGAATAACATAACATTAGTTTTCATTGAGTCTTAATAACTTTCATCAAAAGCTGAAAAGTGAAAAGACACTGGAAAAATTGGCTATACACACTGTAATATTGATGCACATTAAATGCAAAATAAATCAGATCATATTGCGTTTTGTCCACATTTAATCAGATCCAATTCAATTCATCTTTATTTATCTAGTGCTTTTACAATGTAAATTTTGTCCAAGCTGCTTAACCTAGAAGTTATAGTAAATAGACTGTGCACAAACTCTGCTGCCATGTTTCCGGTAGAAAATCAGTCAGACTCTTTACTTCAGCATAGCGTGTTCTACAGCGAAATCTAATAGCGGCGAAACCTAAACGCATCAGAGCATGGCAAAAAAGGGAGATTTACTTTTAAATTGATGAGGATCCTGTGCCAGTGGATGTCCAGCATCAGGAACATCATTATTGTTCAGTTCCAGAACTCTTGGTAGTTGATTAATACACCAAATCAGGCTGACAATCTCTGTGAAGAGGTGGAGTGACTAAAAGGAGACTACTTTGATGCTGCTTTTAGTGATGTTATAAGGTTCTAAAGCTACAATTAAAAAATGATGTACTGGAATTTAACCAAGGTGAAAGTAACAAGTTGTAATTGTATTTTATATAAATATTACGTTTTTAACCATTCTATAGTAAATTCTATTATACTGTACATTGTTTTCTTGCCTTTGTGCATGTCCTGAGGCTTATCTGAAGACCTACATGTTGACATTTGAAATCCCCGACAAGATGCAGAAATGCCATCTAAAAAGGTCAACTGCTGTTTGTCCAATCAGGGACAGTGGCAACGTAAATATACAAATGATTTTGTTAACCCGGGTTTTGCCAATGTGAAACATCTGTTAATAAACACCCAGGATTATATTTTAACCACAGGTAAAGCATGAGCAGTGTGGATTTTACAGATAAACCAGGATTATTAGACTTGTTTGTTGGCCAGTTGTAGTCAGTGCAATGCTAAACAATATTGTTCCACTATAATTTGTTTGTTTTGCCTCATGTTGTCCTACAGAAACATCATATGGTTTAAAATACTGTACAATGTTTTATTATAATTAATTTTTTTTGTCCATTTCATTCAGCATATTTAAAATTGGGGGCATTCACTTTTTGGACATGCTTTAAACCAGGGTTTCTGCAGGTTTTACTAAATTAAATTTAAGACCTTTAAAGACATTTTTAAGACCATTATGAATGAAATTTTAGATTCATAAAAGGCTAAACAATCTTTCAAATGACCCAGATGGGAAATATTTTTATTTGCCATTTCAAAAAATATTATCATTTAAAACATGTATTAATATAATATTAAATAAATTATAAAAATTATATTTGAGATATTTTGTAACAAAAGATTTTATATATTCTGTAAAAACAAGCAAGCTTTACTTGTATCCATACACTTTTTCCAACATTAACTTTCTTTATAATAATTATAAACAAATGAACAAATGTTTTAAAAGTTCTAAAAACTATAATAAACTAAATCTATGTACAACAATCTGTCCAGGTTGATGTCCTCAGCAGTAAATACATGGAGCTCGTTTAAACAAATTTTATTGTAAGGAAAATAATTAAACCGTTATAATAAATAGAGTTAAAACGACCTTTTGAATAAAAAAATTGTTTATTGAGATAGGTTGTTGGTGATTGTATGCACTTTGGCCAGATTGGGTAGCAAAACATGAAAAAAGGAAAATAAAGACTTGATTAAAAATAAAAAATAAAAACATTTAAGACCTACAACACAATATTTCAGTAAATTTAAGACATTTTAAGGCCAGAAATTTAAATTTTGTAATTTAAGACATTTTTTGACTCGCAAAAACTCTGTTTAAACACAATAGCCCTGGTAATTAGTTATGATAATAATGATGTAATTCTAGCGCAGATATTATCTGTGAGAACTAGTAACAACTTCTAGAAACAAGTTTAAGCCCATAAAGAAGTTGGAATTGTGATCAACGTGACATATGCAAATAGAAAGTACCAAGTCAACTCTTATCACTGTAATTGCAGATATCACCTATGAGAATACTGTGAGGACTAGTAATTACAAAATAAATGAGAACAAGTAACAAAAGACACTCACTCCTGAGAGTTAACCTGCCCTAAACTAGGCTAGATTCCCAGCATAAGTTGCCAGAGTAACTGAGTTTGAACTATCGTAAATTTGATTAATGAAACTGAATCCGCCAATAATAAACTGACTTTCCAAAATAAGCCTGATGATCATTGTGGAACGTGATTACAGATAACCCAGGATTCTGTTAATCCAGGAATAGAATGACCACGTGTTAACAATTTGTGACAACGTAAATATACAAATAATAATGATAACCCAGGGTTTACAAATGTGAACTGTCTGTTAATGAACACCCAGGATTATTTTTTAACCCCAGGTATAGCATGAGCAGTGTGGAAGGTGACTACAAATAACCCAGAATTTATCCAGGGTTAGAATGACCCAGGGTTAACAATTTAAAGTGTGAAAAGCCCTAAAAAAATCAGCATCAGCTCTCAGGATAAACAGAGTACAATGACAAACAGCGACATACAAAAATTGTCAATCATGTTATAGTAGTGACCTGATCTCATATGCTATTATTTTAGAACTTCAGTTGTCTTTTGGAGAAATGACCAAGAATAATAAACGGCTACTTGCTCTACAAATAAGTGTGTTCATGTCTATACAAAGAAAAATAATAAAATGAGAAAATATGACTTTGCAACATCAAGCAGCATTAGGCATGGGCCAGTATAAGATTCTGACGGTATGATAACCTAAAATGAATTTTCTTCTGAGAAACATATAAAATATTTTGGAGCAGTAAACATGTCAGGTTAAATCATTCATATGAATCACAGATTTCTTTATGATTTAAAATGGCATCTTTGGAGATCTTTTCTGCTGGAGTTACTGTTGTCCTAAAAAACTTAAAACAAAACATAAAAAAAACCTTACATGTACTGTAGGAACGGTACAGCAGAAAATGTTGGCGGTTTTAAAACCTTGACTTTTCCAAACTGCGGTAAACTTTGAAAGCAGTTATCGTTCCATGCCTAAGCAGCATAACACTGTTTTTAGGATCTAAAAATGTATTCCTTAAAGGGTCACGAAACACCAAAACACATTTTTTGAGCTGTTGACAGTCGTATATGTGTCCCACACTGCTAAAAACACTATTAGGACACCTATATTTCACTAAAAAGTGTAAATTAGTTGTTTTTGCGTTATTTCAAGCAAATTCGTACTTCTAGTTTGTAACGAATTTTTGAAGCTGCGTCACGGTCATGACATAATAGCGTGTATTCCAGCGTGCAGACTGGGCGTCTGTGCCAGAGTGTGTCTTATTACGTCTTACAGTGTGATGCATTAATGCATGAGTAAGGCTTGGGTCAAACCAATCAGCGCGCTCTATTGTGCAACTTCATTAATATTCATTACTATCACCGTGTTTTCAGGACAGAGACGCCACGTTGTGTTGCTTTTATAGTTTGCTGCAGTTAAGTTTCGTTTTCATTTTCTCTCTGTGAGAGCTCAGACTCACGTGTGGATTAACAGTGTACGCGACGCGCGACAACAATAACTTACGTGTCCAAGGAGGATTATTGTTTACCTGAGAGCTGTTCTCATCTGCAAATGCTGAGATCTGGATTTGTTTGTAGTATTCTCTTCATAAAGACGCGGCTCTAGTTGCTGGTGATTGTCCTGTCTCTACAGATTTGGTAAGTGAGCGACCAGTGCTCTTTGTTTATTCAGTTTGTTCGTATCTAACAAACTATTGCACAGAGTGTAAACACGTTAGCACCACAACCAAACTTTAACCTCGTGTAGGGTTTTTACCGCATTTAGTGACCGGAATAACACGCGCGGCTTTCCGACGCTACCTGTCGTGTGCATCTAAGTTTCTGGGAAATGCAGAGGGGTTTTTTCTCTCATTCGCCGTGCGGTATAAAACATTGCATGAAAAATACACGCTTAGAGCAGCTCCTCGAATCAAATATCTCGTGTGTCGCGAGGGGCATGAATGAATTCCCTGAATGAAAGAGCCAAACTGCAGTTAAAGTCCACCATTTAATCATTTGGCAAATAATTCGACTACAGATGTCCATGTAGGTTAAACACCATCAAATTCTCCTGTATGTATGTGTGTGTGTGTGTTTGTGTATTTTGACTCTGATACTCGCGCGTGCCCAAATAGACACTCCCACACCATCCCACTTTTCTTCCTCCGACACTCCCCCCTAAACAGAGCTGGACACGCCCACTTTTCGGACTTTTTCCAAAGTAGAGGTGTGAAAACACCCTGCTGAAACGAGGGGGTTTCATGGCCCTTTAAAAAATTCTCAAGCAAAAAGATTCCAATGGCGCCACCTGCTGGTACATGAACAACATTGCCTATTTTTGAGACTGTACAATGTTTATAATAATTGATTATTTTAGTGTCCATTTCATTCAGCATGTTTAATATTAGGGGCATCCACATTTTTTGACATACTGTAAACCAGGCTCTCTGTGAGTTTTACCAAGTTAAATGTAAGACTTCTTAAGACATTTTTAAGACCATTATGAATGAAATTTTGGACTCATAAAGGGCTAAAGGCTAAAGAACTTTTCAAATGGCCCAGATGGAAAAGGTTTTTATTTGCCCCATCAAACAAATATTACAAGTGAATACATTTAATAATACAATAATAAATTAATAATATATATTTTTTAATTTTAGACATTTCTTTAATAAATAAAAACTAATATTGTGTAAAAACAAGCCAGCTTAACTTGTATTCCAACATAAACTTTCTTTATGATAATAAAAAAATTAACAAATATTTTCAACGTTTTAAAAAAATATAATAAACTAAATATATGCACAACAATCTGTCCATGTCAATGTCCTCAGCAGTAAATACATGGAGCACGTTTAAACAAACGTTATTGTAAAGAAAATAATTAAACCATTATGATAAATAAGGTTAAAATGACCTTTTAAATAAAAAGTTTAAAGTTTCATTGAGATGGATTGTTGGTGATTGTATGGGTTTTGACCAGATTGAGTAGCAAATCATGAACAAAGGAAAATGAAGACTTGTTTAAAAAGAGTTAAGATCTACAGCACAACATTTCAGTTAATTTAAGACTTTTTAAGGCCGAAAATTTTGAGTCTTCTATGAGAATACTGTTGGTCAAATATCGTCAGCTCAGTTAAACCTTTTATTTATTTATTGTTTTAATTAATTTGATAAAGTGCCAGTGATCATGGATGCTTAACACACAGTAGGGGAACAAGAAAAGCAATAGCCTTAAGGAGGTAGAGACAATGGGAGACTAATAATATATAAAAGAATGACAAAAGATGTAAGAACAAGTGATGGAAGAAACTTATTTCTGTCTTTCAATGAGTGAATGTGCGTTTAGGAGAACTAGGCAGCACACTCAGGACTTAATTTAGTATTCTTATTATTAAAAAATGTATCAGTATGAAAACCAACCTGTTTGTTCCTGCAGATCTCCCTGTTTGACTGTGGATGTTTCTTCAATCTTCACATCTTCACTCTCCACTTTAATAAACGCCATCTTTATAACAGTGTGGAGATCAGTCACTTCAGCAGGAGTTTTTCTCTGTGTTTGGACACTTAATCCTGTTAAAAATGAACAAAACAATAAAAATGTCCTGTTTAAAATAAATAAAACAATCAACAGAAACAAAATAACTTCTCTTCAACACTTGCTCCAACAGTTTTTTTTAATGACAGTAAATAACAAAATTAAATCCTGCAAAACGTTTCATCAAAACACATATTACACACTTTTGTTACATTGTTCAAACAATAGCCCTCGCTGAGAATAAAATAATACTACGTTGTATAAAGGGTTAAAATAATATTTTCAACAGCAGGAACATAATTTAGCATCGTATAAAACCCTAAAACTTTAGAACTTTAACTTTAAATCGGTTTATATCTGTAAAAGTTTTAGAACAAACCTCTCTCCAGTTAAATCATAGCGCAGTAGCGGCGCTGCCTGATGACGTCACACGCCACGCCAAAATAAAGGTCTTTTTTGTTTTGCTTTTTGCCACCTCTTCTTCTGTGGTATTTTATTGGCAGCTTGCAAACTTAGTGCATTACTGCCACCTTCTGGACTGAGATATGATCATTAGGGATGTATAAATATATTTATATAGTGTATATTTATTAAAAAATAAAAAATAAGGACCTAACCTAAATCCTATTTGCTAGCTGTGTTATTTTCAGAAACTTTATAACTGCCTTAACTGTTGAACTTGTTCCAGACAGACTCAATATGTGCTTTAATGTCATGTTCTTAAGTACTTTCTGTAATTGTTCTCGTTCAGCTGAATATTTTCTACAAGACAGTATAACATGTTTTACGGATTCTGGTTCGATACAATATGCAAACATTCCATTTTGGTGTTTCCTTACAATACATACCCAGCAAACAATGAGTTGGCGGACCGTCGGCGTTTTTTGGTCGGCACAAATTCAGCGACTTGATATGGGCGAACCGCCATCGGCTTACCAGCGGCAAGCCGCCCATTCTAAAAGTTATGTCGGCCCACCGGCGTTTTTTGGGTGGCACGCCACCAGCGGATTACCGTGGGTGGACCGCCGTCTGGACACCAGTGGCTAACCGATGGCCCACCCGGTGATGTTTTTAATGTTGTTGGCTGTTCTGTACCTGATATAAGTACTTTTGTTTAACACTTTTTACATTTTAAACGAATGAGGCACTAAATAAAAATATAGTTATTAATAAAAGCAAAGTTTTGTAAATAAAACTACAAGAGGTTTTAAATATAACAGGTTATTATTAAAACAAAACAAAATTAAGTTTAAAAATCAAGATTTAATATTAAATGTCATTATTAAATATGTTTATGAATTGTTTATGTAAACATATAATTATATAAACATTAAATAAACATTTGTTTATGTAAACGCTGCGTGACTTTAAAGTGTCCAATACCGAGCCCCATTCAAGCACTGCAGCAGAGAGCGTTGGAAACGGAAACGGAGCAACGACCCGTTCCATGGAAACGGAGCAACGACACGACACCTGACCGGTGTTACGGTTTAACTGGTGACCGTGTTAACTGGTGTCCCTTTCCAGATGTAAGCTATTCACGTTTGCAGATTGGCAGATTCGTCACTTTTTCACAGCAACAAAACATGTCCATACCAAATAAAGATTCTTATTACTTGGTGTCAGTGTCATTGTGTGCATTATTGATTTTAATTTCTGTGTAGCAGAACAGTATATAACCAAAGTAAATAAAAAAAAATAATTAGAATTTACATGTCTTTAACAGGATTCGAACCCGTGTAGTGAAAAGGTTTAGCACACGTATCAATCAACTTGTCTAACTGAGCTACTCAGAACTTCAAATAAAGCAGTCTGTTTTAATATATTTGTCAATTAAAACATGCCTTGCTGTGGTTGTGGACCCGTGTTAACATGTTCTGCATGTTATTGGTTTGCTGGCTCACCTAGCATTCCATGGATACAGATTGAAAGAAAATGTACAGGCAATTTGAGTCTTGACACATATTTATACTCTGATTCTTTAAAGAAACTCAAACAAAATACATCTAACCCATTTGTGAGAGCCACTATTTTATCATGGCATGAGTCACAGATTGAGCTGGGAGAAACCCCGGTACTTTCTAAATTTTCTCCCATTTGGGGTAATGCATTATTCGTACCAGGGAAATCAGACAAGGCTTTTAAGCTGTGGTTCCAGAAAGGCTTGCAAAAGATATCAGATCTTTATGAAGATAATATATTGATGTCCTTTGAAACCTTAAAGGAAAGATATAAAATTCCTCAGTCTCATTTTTTTAAGTATCTTCAGATCCGTAATTTTATAAGATCTAAAAATCATTCATATCAGTGTCCGACCCTAAGTAGTTTAGAAGAAATTGCAGTTAAAGATCCCAGTGCCAAATACAAAATTTCTACACTATATAGCAAATTTGTTAATGCTTCCAAAGAATCTACAAATCATAAAAGACTGGCTTGGATTGAAGACTTTCAAATAGATATTACAGAAAATGAATGGGAAGAAAGTTGTCTTCAAGCGCAAACATCAATCAATACCCGTTTTAAATTAATCCAATATAATTGGGTAATGAGAACATATATAACACCAGAAATGTTAAATAAATTTAATAGAAATATTCTGGACATTTGTGGAAAATGTTTGACTTACAAGGGCACACTGTTCCATTGTGTTTGGCAATGTGAGCACTTGCAATTCTTTTGGAAAGAAATAATTGGTGTAATCTCTAAAACTATTGGTAAAGAAATCCCTGTTTGCCCTAAAATCTGTATCCTTGGTCTTTTCCCACCTGCCTTATCGCTGAAGTCATATGAACAGAAGTTTATAAATCTGTGTCTATTACATGCGAAGCGCCTGATTGCCATTCACTGGAAAAGTACTCATGCTCCATCTTTGTCACTCTGGATTAGGGAAATGTCTTCCTGTATAGCAATGGAAAGGTTGACTTATTCAATCACACAAAAAATGCACATATTCTACAAGATTTGGGACTTCTTCCTTCATTTTTTAAATAACAGTGCACTGACTGTTTAGTAATCCCAAACAATGTGACTGTTAAAATACACTGTGTTTGTAATGACTAACTTTAATATAATTTCACTGGACTGTATATGTTGAAATGTCAATTTTTTAATGGTATTTATTTTTTTATATATTTTTAATTTTTAACAAAATTGCCCTTTTTATTTTTATCTTTAAGTTTATTTTAGTTAATCTTTATTTTCTATTTATTTGTTTTTGTATTACTTTCCTCGCATGAGAATGCATTTTTTTATTCTGTTCCTTTCTTTTTTTAAATTTTTATTTTTATTTTGAACGTCGGGATGGGGCGGGAGTTCTTTGATTGGTATTTGGTTACTAATACAGTAAGAATGTATCACACCTTTCTGAAACAATAAAAGTGTTAAAAAAAAAAGAAAAAAAAAAAGAAAGCCACTCTCCCATAATCTGAGGGAAAGGTGCAGTTTGGATTTGAACCTAGCACCTGCTGTTCCCAAGACAGGTGCTTTGGCCAACTTAGTCTTAACACTAAAAGAAAATACCTCTGGATATGATACTTCCAAACGCAGATTCATCTAAGACAGTGGGGGGGAAGCAAAATTTACTGTGCTTTCTACTCAGGTACTTTCCACATGCATAAAGAGGCTCTTGTACGACAAATCCAAAAGGCGTGATCTCAACAATAGGGGGCAGTTACTTTTCCCCAAAACCACAGGTTGCCGACGAGTCATTCCTCAAGCCCACTAGGCCCTGCACCGTTTTCTAATCTCCCTTATTTAAAACAGCTCAATTAAGTCATCGGCTTTATTGTAGAGTACCCCTAGTATCTGAGCCTGCACTGCGCAATGAAAGAAAGAAGCAAAACGGGATGGACAGATGCCTAAAATGTTAGAAACGCACCACACCTTAAGTCAGTGAAGAAAAAGAGCAAAGCTTGCAACTCTGGTGGGACTCGAACCCACAACCTTTGAATGGCTCAGCTCACAACCTAGAAGTCCAATGCACTATCCATTGCGCCACAGAGCCTAAGTGCTCTGCTTCCTCTAGAACTGTTGGACAGAAAGCACTTTTTAGTACTCTCTGGCCCATGAATGAACAGCCAACTGCGGACAAGGCACTGCTGGAATTCAAAGCCAGGATCTCCTGTTTATTAGACAGGCACTTTGACCAACTAAGCCACAGCGCCAAACGACCTTGATACAGGCTAAATGTTTAATTCCAAAAAAAAAAAAAAAACTAACAACGGTAGCGCTGCATGTGGGAATGTCTGGACTTGAAATATTAAAGTCCAATTGGTTAGGCATTACCACACTATGCTATATAAAGGCATCGTCCAAAGCCCTCTTGAACGATCAGCGTTCTTAAGGATTTGAGTTTTGTTAAGAAACCGACTGCTAAACATCCCGCAGTGTAAACACTCGTTACTCTTAACAAAAGCAAACACGAAACCTGTAAATAAGGCACTGCTGGGATTTGAACCCAGGATCTCCTGTTTACTAGACAGGCGCTTTGACCAACTAAGCCACAGCTCCAATGCTGAATAAGAGGCAAGACGTTTTTGAACACAGAGACTAAAAAAAGACAGCAAGTCTTAAAATGGCAAGCAAAGAGGTTGTTTAACTCTATTTGTCGCACTATTCATTACGCCTCAAAGCTATACAATTTTATATTTCATTCCGGTGAGCTCTATAAAACAAGCACACGCACCACCTGGACTAAGGCGCTGCTGGGATTTGATCCCAGGATCTCCTGTTTACAAGACAGGCGCTTTGACCAGCTAAGCCACAGCGCCACAGAAATTCACAGTAAGAGACATTTGCCCGATAACAAAAATCGAAGAAGAAAAAATAATACACAACAAAAACCAGCATGTCAGGATGCAGAAAATGCTGACAAGCCGGACGCGGTCCTTTAGAGTCTGGTTGATCATGTCTCAAGCCTGGCCATGTCATCCAAACCCAGAGTCAGCTCGGAAAATGGAAATCAGGACAAACATATGCTATCGGCCATTGAAAGAGTTTCAGATCAGAAAGCCACTCTCCCATAATCTGAGGGAAAGGTGCAGTTTGGATTTGAACCTAGCACCTGCTGTTCCCAAGACAGGTGCTCTGGCCAACTTAGTCTTAACACTAAAAGAAAAAACCTCTGGATACGATACTTCCAAACGCAGTTTCATCTAAGACAGTGGGGGGGAAGCAAAAATTACTGTGCTTTCTACTCAGTTGCTTTGCACAAGCATAAAGAGGCTCTTGTACGACAAATCCAAAAGGCGTGATTTCAACAATAGGTGGCAGTTACTTTTCCCCAAAACCACAGGTTGCCGACGAGTCATTCCTCAAGCCCACTAGGCCCTACACCGTTTTCTAATCTCCCTTATTTAAAACAGCTCAATTAAGTCATCGGCTTTATTGTAGAGTACCCCTAGTATCTGAGCCTGCACTG